ATTAGACCTCGCCATCCCTGGGGGGCTGCGATCTGTGAAACTGTCGCCACTTTCGAGGGCTGCTGGGGTGGCCAGCGGAGTGACGTCATACGGGGATTCAGATTAGATCTCGCCATCCCTGGGGGGCTGCGATCTGCGAAACGTGTCGCCACGTTCGAAGGCTGCTGGGGGGCCCAGCGGAGTGACGCCCTACGGGAATTCAGATTAGACCTCGCCATCCCTGGGGGGCTGCGATCTGTGAAACTGTCGCCACTTTCGAGGGCTGCTGGGGTGGCCAGCGGAGTGACGTCATACGGGGATTCAGATTAGTTCTCGCCATCCCTGGGGGGCTGCGATCTGCGAAAGTGTCGCCACGTTCGAAGGCTGCTGGGGGGCCCAGCACAGTGACGCCACGCGCGGACCCAAATTAGACCTCGCCATCCCTGGGGGGCTGCGATCTGTGAAACTGTCGCCACTTTCGAGGCCTGCTGGGGGGCCCAGCACAGTGACGCCACGGCGGACCCAAATTAGACCTCGCCATCCCTGGGGGGCTGCGATCTGTGAAACTGTCGCCACTTTCGAGGCCTGCTGGGGGGCCCAGCACAGTGACGCCACGCGCGGACTCAAATTAGACCTCGCCATCCCTGGGGGGCTGCGATCTGTGAAACTGTCGCCACTTTCGAGGCCTGCTGGGGGGCCCAGCACAGTGACGCCACGGGCGGATTCAAATTAGACCTCGCCATCCCTGGGGGGCTGCGATCTGTGAAACTGTCGCCACTCTCGAGGCCTGCTGGGGGGCCCAGCACAGTGACGCCACGCGCGGACCCAAATTAGACCTCGCCATCCCTGGGGGGCTGCGATATGAGATCCCCACTTTCGAAGTGGCTAGGGTTGCTCAGGGATTGTAACTCATCAGCTTTATCTAGTCCTTGTCCTGTAGCCATTGTCCTGCGCGTCTCCCGAATTCCCTCCGCAGACATATTTAACCCTCGCTCCGTCATCGCCCCCTTATAAAGTGTCCTAAACTATTTGCGCCCCGCGTTTGCGCAGGGGTTGGGTACGTTGCCAGGGTAATTTCTTCGATGGCTGGAGTAGTGTTGGAGCCAGTTGGGAGTCTGAGGTGGCCCAGCACTTGTTCTGGTCAGCAGGCCACGTTTTGCGACCGCCCTCTCTTGGACGTCCCCCTCTTCGACACCCGGCCAGAGGGGGAACGCATCGACCCCCAATCGCCAATTGCCTCCCGATCGGGACCCGATAGCGAGCCTCGCCCAGGAACATACGGCGTCGCCATCGGGGGCCCATCGCCGATCTATCGGTGATGTGTATCGCCGATGCCAGGGCGATGCTTCTCTCCCCCCCTTAAGCTGGTCCCTGCTGTCGGCGGCGCGCACTGCGGGGAAGGGAGCGATGGGGGCGGGCTTCTTCGGATGCTTCGGCAGGCTTCGGGCCTTCGCAGGAGTCTTCTGAGCCGCTCGAAGACGCCGAACAATTTCAGGAGGAGAAAAAACACACACAGACACAATTCATCGTCGATTCCCCGGAAAATGTAGGAAAATATGGGGGGAAGACAGAAACCCCGAAACTATGGGAAAACATGGGGAATTGTTTTATTTGTGTGTATTTATTTGCGTGTCCTTGGGCCCCTTGACAATTGTCAGAGGGCTGGGGGGGAGGCTTCTGAGGAGCCCCGCCGCCTTCTGAGCAGGCCTCCTCCCTCGCACCTTCCCCCTCCGGGCGCGCCGCCGATCCGAGTCGCGGGTGGTTTTTCTCGCCGCCCACGTCCGGCGTTTCGGCGCAAACTCGGGCCGCTCACAGTAAACGGAGG